GATAACATTCTCTAGCAGCTTTTGGAATTCATTTTCAGTAAGGTTTCATCAAGACTACAAAATCTTTACCACCATCATTATTTTAAACTGTTGACAAAATGTCTTTAGAAAAGTTTATCGTCTTTGCGGCCAGAGCGTCTGACTAGGTTTACATCCAGGTTAATACTAAACCTAAGAGCACATTTTATTTTTACTTCATAAATTATTCTCATTTATTCTTAAACTAATGGACCCTAAAAGGCCCAAATTGAATAAATTGTCATCATTTATAAAAAAGAAAATGTATCTGATCACATCAGACGGGTGTTGAATTGTGTACGTTAAAGAAAATTGATTAGCCAAATTAAATGTATGGTCCATTTTGTTTAGCTAGTTTGAGTTCCAAGCTATCGCTTACATTTTGAATTGTTCATAACAATAGAACATATTCAAAAAGGTAAAAGCAGCAGCCCGTATGTAACCCTAGTCACGGTCTGTCCAATTTCAGAATGAGACAAAATGAAAAAATGTGCTGACAAGACGTAATTATGTGGTATAAAAACTCACAAAGAAGACTTTAAGTTATTCAAATAGATATCTCATTGTAAATGTGGCCGAAGACGGTCAGCATCAACATAATTTGACGTCTTAAGAAAGATTACATAATCACACCACTCCCAGGATAGTAAAATACATAAATATAGTAAAATATGTAATATATTTTTTTTCATATATACTGTATATGCATATAAACTAAGTATCAGAAAAAGAACATAGGATGTATTAACATAGAAATCAAGTGAAAATACAAAAATAGTAAGAGCACAGCATTGCCCCTGCTTAGAAATCACAGCAGGTTGTACAGCAGCAAAGTTCCCCTTTATGTTCTTTGCAGCTATGGAACAGGGAAAAACGGTCATGTCCTCTTGGCAAAGAGAAAATCCTGACGTGAACAATCTCTATGGACTTCACTCCAACTTAGGAATGGATCATTGGTAAGGACGGCTTTAATTCAAGTGAATTTCATACTTAAATATTTAAAAAAATGACAACAGAAGGAAGGTGTTACTGCATTTAGTTATCATGACACCTCTGTTTCTAGAGATGGGCGTCAGGAGTTCTCTTGCAGAAGAGTGTGTCAAAAGCAAGGTTAATAGCTAGGACTTCAGAGATATCAACACCAGCAGTAGGAATGATTTCTATTTGGACGGAGATCTCGATGTTAAGTGACAAAGAAGGCAGTGGGAGCTTTTGGTAGTCTTTAACATAAAGGAAGTCAATTGAATTGCGTTTCACTTGAAGGGACCGCTCTCATTTTCACTACATCTAATATGGATAACATACCAAAGAGTTTCATATAAAGGGAAGAGGCCAACCATCACCCAGTAAGTGCTGTGGCATACATCTCAGAGAGCCAATAGTTCAATAAGGCTTGAGTGGCAGTAAATGGTCACATATTTAATCTCACCAACTAACTCAATATTTTTTCTTTCAACTCCAACTCTAGGAATCAGTTGCCCTGTGATTTGTTTATACTGCATCTTAACAGTTTTAAGTGCTAACTAATGATGGAAATTGGATGACATTTCTAATCCAAACAAATCACGTTCCAATTCAAAATGTTTTGTTACCAAATGTAACTGCATAATCATAAATAAATTCCAATTTGGGGAAAATAAGTATTCAGTTCTTTAAATTCTCCAGTGGTATGGTCACAATATACCAATAGAATCACGCCCAGCACCTGCATAAAACACCCTAGCCATACACACCTCATCTCAGGCCCTCATACAAATCAAAATAATTTCTAAACCAAACTGCCAGTACGTCAAGTGTTCCATGGATGAGCTTCAATGACAGCAAACTCAAGGTGCATCAGATTCGCCTCTTTAGAAGCTTATTGTTTATACCTGATGTAGACACCCTGCGGATGTGATTTATTAATCTTCTCAGTGGGCTATAGGAGAAACAGTAAGAAACACTGGTCTTTTAAAAATATATGTAACAAAAGGAGTCAATTTCATCCAGCAAAAGGCTTACATATAAATTCTGTCCTTACGAAGGTTTCAAACACAAAGGAAAAGTGTTACTTCAAAACTCCAAAGTTAGAGCACTGTCAGCATTAGTATGAAAGCCTTTACTGTAGTGTACCTACTGCTGTCTCACCTCCTAGAGAGGGTATTAACCACCAAGTAAAAATGTGTAATACTTTGTATAACCAAGACCGAAATATGAACAATAGCGCATCACGAGTAGAGGCCTTTATGAAACTGCATATGACTATAATGACTTAGGAGGTCAGGTATCATATAACTTTATAACTACTAGTCACTCACTGTTTTTGACAATGTTCATAGGGTATTATAAGTGCAATAATGCATTATAATCATATACTATATGAAGTATTATCACAAGGCATGAGACAAATATTGTAATTCATAATTGACATGGTCTTGCAAAAAAAAACTAATAAGTGACCAGCAATTATGAAGTTATGAAGCATTTTGAATAACTGCTTTTAACTATAATTGTACAGGGCTATAAGCTTATTATAACGCATTACATAATTATTTGTATAAGGAATTATAGACATGGGCAAAATACAAAGTGTTTAGCTTGCGATAAATCGAAAAATCCTCTTTGTGTTAGTATCCATGTAAGAACTCTATAATAATTGTATAGGATCACTTATGGGTCCTTTTTAAGGCAACGGCTTCAAAGGCTCATTTTACATTGAGGCACTTCCACATTAAGGTAATATGATTTGGCATTGGCTTTGCAAATAGCCTTCTGTCACATAAACTGCTTAAATCTCAAGTGTTATGGTTAATAATATAAGAGCAGGGCCTTTGCCGCCACATTAAGGCATGTGAAATACTTATCCACACTGGAGTAAAAAGAAAAATCTCTGCTTACAGTCATGGAGGAAGGGTCACATGGGGCCCTGCCGGTGCTGGGGGGTCAGGGGGGGTTGCACAGTGCACAGACAATGTGTAAAAGAGACATAAAGTGAGAGACAGAGTTGTGATTGCAGCATAACATCACATCAAGCTTTGCCACCCAATTCCATCCCATAGTCTAACTACTGAGCGTCCTCTCAGTGCAGGGCGAGTGGGTTTAGGCCGGGTCAGAACCGGAAAGGACCAGGCAGGAGGAGAAGAGCCCAGTCCTGTCAACACTAGGACACGGTGGAGTACGGGTTGGGGCTGGAGTTGTTGTGATGGGCGGACTTGATGATGGTGATGACGCTGGTGTTCTGCACCTTGCCCGGCGAGAGGGGCCCACGGGTCACGGATCGGGCGAAACACTGCAGGGCCTCATACTTGGCTCGCAAGGAATCAAGCTCCAACTTCATGCTGGTGTTCTCGCGGGCCAGCTTGTTCACCTCGTGCTGGAGATCTATCTTTTGTCTCTCCAACTGCTCCTTCTGGCTGACGCGTTTGATGCGACAGCTGGCGGCGTAGCCCCGGTTCTTCAGGGTCCTTCGCCGCTGCTTCAGCTTCGCTACATCATCCTTGGTGAGCCCACGCAGGTGCTGGTTGAGTTCCCGCACCGTCATGGCCACCAACTCGTCGTCGCTGACCGCCGGGGCATTCTCACCCTCCTTCTTGACCTGCAGGATAGAGCAGTGGATGAAGAACAGGTCGGAACTTTTAACAGGTCCACATTTCTCAAACTTCTCAAACACTTACCTTTAAAGCTTTGCTCGCCTTAAACTGAGTCGTCATTCCCTGCATGCGGACAACAGGCCAGAATCTCACAGAAGACACACTATGAGGAAAGAAAAACAGATAGTGTTAATTTAAGTTCAAATACAATATATTACAAATAGTGCCACATAGTGCCACCACTATGACACGTTCCCATGCTTTAAGGTTAAAAAAGCTCTTTATTCTTCTCATACTGCCTGTGCTGCAGCACTTCTTTTCATCCTCTGTCTGAAACCAGAAGCCAGTCTGCTCTGATTGGTTAGCTTGCCGGCACTCTTGTGATTGGTCAATAACTTAGAGATGTTTTGGAAATGTCCCGCCCCTTAGCCTATCACGTACAATTTGTTGGAGTGCTAGCCAACAGAAGCGCAAGTGTTAATAAGTGATGTCATTATGTTACAGAAGTAGACAAAGGAGTCCAATTGAGGAGTTTCAATGTGAACTTTGGGGTTTTAGCCTTTGCCGACCACAACAGGAAAAGGAAAACCCCAAAAAGCAGCCCTCAATAAAAGCTACTCACATCTTTATGAATCAGTGATAGTTATTAATACTTCCGACCAGCGACGTGCAGTCAGGGGAGGCAGGGGAGACAGAGCCTCACCTGTCATACTCCAATGTAACGGAAAAACAACTAAAGAAAAACTAAATAGTAATAATAATAAAATGTCTCCACTGATCTATGATGTAAGTGTGATTTATGTATGATTCCAATCGCTTTTTAAAGTCAAAATCAGCCAATTTGCCGAGCTCCGCTACAACTACAGGTAGCGATGAGAAGTGAGGCAGGGACGAGCTCTGCCTCTCGTAAGCCCACAGTAACTTTCCTGGAGCACGGGCACTAATTTAGCGCGGGCACTTATTTTGTGCCCGCGCTCAAGCCAGTAACTGTGGGGTGAGGTGAGGCACAGATGAGCTCTGCCTCACCTCAGAATGTGTCACCCCACAGAAACTGGCTGGAAAGCGGGCACTAAGCGCATGCCTGTTACCATCTCACAGTAGGTCACCAATGTAATGTTTGTAAATCCCTTTATTACATTTATCCTCGCCATCCATAGTCTCTAAATAACTTATTTAACGTATATATGATATTTAGGCTCGCTGGTCTCATCATATAACGGCAATGAAAAAAGCAGCAGGAGAGGCAGCTATAACCTCTGCCACACTGAAGGGGGCGCACATGAGCCCACAGGATCTTGTTGCTACTGTTATTATACGCAGAGACGGATAGACACAAACAACAAACTAGACTTTTGAAACTACAGGAAGATAAGGAGGACTTTTACAAAAAACTAATAGAGAATGTTGTCCAGAAGGAGAGCATGGACTTAATCTTCAAGTCAAGGTAAGACCACAATTGTAATGAAAATGGGATCTTACTAAGAAAGAACAATCCAATATTTGGATTTTGGGTATCCTTTTGTTGAACGGTCTGTTTAAAATGAATCGAAGCATCAGACTAAAAAAGCTTTTGAAAATAACCGAATATTTTGATTAAGGTCAAAATATAATATTTGTAAATCTGACTCTGAAAGAGTCAGTGCCTCACCAACCATGAACCTCACCGCACGTCACTGCTTCCGACCTAAGTAACAGATCTGAATACTTTGGCTACTGTCCCACACATTTTATTTTTATATTTAGATGTTCAACTTGGCACTCAGCCCTACACATGCACTTTCAAAGTTAACAACAACATTCCTAGGATGAAGTCATGTGTCAATATTATGTTTGCATGTTAGGGCCTCAGATGACAGCAGAGGGCAGCACGACACCATTAAACCAAAGCGACTGTGTTTACTTGTTGAGGGAGGAGTGCCCTGACAAAGTATTTCAGTAGACCAAGAGAGATTAGAAACAGGCAACCTCTCTCCTCATCCTGCTCTGTGCTGAAGCTCTCCGGGCTTTGTCAGTTTTTTAAAGAAAAGCCTCTCTGTACTCATTACAGTGAGCCACATGCTTTCCGGACTGATTTCGTGGCCAAAAAAAGTGAAAGAGCGCCGGGCTGTGATCCTGTGAGAGGCACACATCCTCCCCCCAGGCTCCATTTCAGGACCTTCGGACCAGCCTGACTACAAGTGCACTGTTCCATGCTCGACTGCTGCCATGGAAATGCCCTGCAAATGGGCGTGGGAGTGTGAGTCACATGGTCACCAAAAGGGTAAACAAGTCTCATTCATAACCACAACACAGCCTATTCATAGTACAAATGAGAAGCACTAACTTGTGCTGACAACTTAAAAGGCATCCACTGTACAAACAGTTCCAGTTTATCTATCTGTTTATCCTGGGGAATCCAGTGTAATTCGGATTGTTTATTCCCCTAATATGGTGTCTACAGCAACTCTTCCTCCTCATCGCACTTTAAAAATGACGTCAGCATAACATTTACAGTTATGCTGATCTTTACAGGGTAGTTGATACGCATGTGGAACATTCCTGCAGATAGAGTGTCACAGAGGAATACTTTCCTTTATAGTCACTGATGTATTTTTGCTGCGTGTGAGACAATGCAGTCTGTGGATTTGGGCCTGTGTCTCGCTGGATGGATCCTCTTACACTGGGCTTTCCTGAGCCGCTCCATGCCCTTATTTAACTCTGGCAGGATATATTTAGCCCTCAGTGCTGACACAAATTTCTGCCAACTAAACAAATTAACTGAGCATGCGATAGGAGAAACCTCAGAGGGCGAATATTCCTTTGCAGTCCTGTTGGCTGCAGCTTTCATGGGAGAAAGTACTCTGGGTGTGGCTGCTTTTGGGATGTTTACAACATTTTTACATCCTATATGGGTGTATTGCTAATACAGGACGTTTCGGCTTTTGATTTGCAGATGCGGATTACCGGAAAAAGTGCAATCGACATGAAAAACACCCTCTTTTACTCTTTTATGAGACTTTTATAGCTTATATTCTACATATCTGTCTAGAGAAAGTGTTTTTGTCTTGTGCAGATGAACCTCAATAACAGATGAGACTACATGTAGAAACCAGACAGCAAAACCCAGAGCCACATAAACTCGTGTTTAGACATTAAGGGGAACATCTGCTGCTCTCTCTGGTGTCCTTCATACATTTTTGCAAAGATTGCATAATTGAGATTTTTCCAAAGCATCAGATAAAGATGAAGAACTGCAATACAACATTCCTAGGCAGAAAGTTGGCCACAACAGCCTTACTTATGTGGTATTGCATCAGAAGGGGTCCCTGGGTATATCCCTTTCAAAGATCATGGAAAAGTAATGTGCCCCCCCCCCCTTTCTGCACACAAGAGGCCCCCAGCATCAAGCAAGAGGCCAAGTTGTTTCCCTGGAATTCTTTAGGCATGTGCTGATGTCTTTGCAACTCAAAAAGCATGAGAAACCAACATTTCTTTAAAACTGAAATTCTATTACGGAGCCAAATCCACTGTTTATAATGTTGCCATTCAGAAAGGACATGCATATATCACAACAAGTCACAGCTTCGTGATATAGTCAAGAAAACAACTCTCACAAGGGTAAGAAAAGGAGTCTGGGAAAATGCCTCAGAGAAAAGCAACAGATGGCGGGTAGAGAACAAAAACCACATTCCTGAGTGAACACACATGTGCAAACCCTCACATGCACATCTTTACTGAAGAAGGATCCTTGGGTCTGAATCTGTCCTGCGATGCACTCGGCTACAGCGGGGGTGGAGTTCAGACTATCCCACTTGTAAAACAACGGCTGCAAAATGTACAAAATGTCTGGAATTCACCAGTGTCTCACATCGTTCACTTGCCCGAACAAATCAGTGTGCACACGTGTGGAAGTCAGGACTCAGCTTCACTCACACACTATCTTTCATTTTTCTTTTTCTTTCGTTCTCATACAACCGACAATGTTTCATTCCTGAAGGCAATCCTCTGTTGACTAATAACCACAAATGTCCTCATCAAGTTAATGTCATCAGTAAGTTATGGAAAAGTGCCACAAAAATGCAGAATTAAGCCGCCAAGGGATGACACAACTCAACTAGGTGTTCCTTACGAAGGCTATACGCACATGTATTGGTTACGATGTGTGTTATTTGATGTGGAAATGGTGTTTTCCACATGATGATGTTTTTGTTATTTGGGTTGCCTAGATTTTAAAAACACAGAACTAGGGAAAAACAATTCTTTACATGGGTACAAATCTGCCTTTTGTCAGAGGAAAACAACTCTTACAAAGCAAATTGATTAAGTAGTGTACATAGTAAACACCGTAATCTGCATTTGAGTCAGATAATTGACCTTTGTACCACTTTTGCTCTGTTTATGCTGTTTTCAAAGTCAGGCATCTGGTCAAGTTCAAGGCTGCTGCACTTGAGTGACAGAAGGTAACTGTGGGGCCCAGCCTCCTCCTAAAATAAACAGCATATCAAAGACGTGTGTGCTCCTGCTGCAGTGATAAATGCAGAGCTGGCTTGTCTGGACTCATTGTTTATCTTCCCTTTTTGTTTTAGGGAGCAGGTTAAGCAGAAAGCAGACATGTTGTTGCCCTTGACAGTCTGATACACTCCTCTGAGAAAGCTCTTGCATTTTTCTCAGGGAGGAGGGGAGATTTCTCCACAGACTGCTGCGCTCTGCTCTCTGCTCTTTCTCCAGCGCAGCACATTTGGTGGGATATTATGTGAAGGAAATGGAGAGCATAGCTGAGCAGTGAGTCATGCTGTTTACTGGTAAAAGCGACGACCAGCGGCAGGGAATCACACCCTCTCCATCTGACGTTTCCTGGAAAATCCCGTTGTTTCAAAGGAGGAAGGAAAAGTACAGAGAACCTTTGAAATAACTGGCTTTAACACCAGAACAGTTGTGTGGAAAAGGGAGGAGAACTCGCAAAAATATCTGAGCAAAGAAACTCTCCCAACCAAGGACGTTGGGAGTAAAAAAAATGTCAAGAATGCACAAAAAACAAGGACGTAGCTGTCCAAAACGACCTGGAAACCAACAATGTGTGAATAATAGGAAAGTATTAGAGCTGTATCAGATCACATCCCTTACTCCCCAAAAATATAAATCAAAGCAAAACAAGACTTTTTGACCATAAAAGCACTATCAGGATTTCAGTGATTCTCCTTCAAAACAACAGTCTGGCACACGTGCAGATAGACAGACAGGACGTGACAGCAACGCATACATTCTGAAGGCCGTGGAGCTACAAAGTGTTTGTGTTTGTTGCTGTCAACCACCAACTTGAGTCACGGTGTAATCAGGAAGTTACCAAAGGAAAAACATCAACAATTGAATCCGCAAGTGAGACAAATCATGGAATTCCCAAATAACACGACAACCCCACAAAAATAAATAAATAAGTGAGTAATCCTGACACTTGCCACACCTCTGTGCATAATGAGGTGAAAGCAGCGGGGTGAGATTGGGTCACTGATAGAAAAGCAGCGATAGGCAGGATCACAGTGGGTGGCAGAGTGAGCCGTCTCAGACACCATATAACTGTCAGGGAGTCACTTTGGACGGACCACCACAGCCTGTTCACACACTCGCCTGTTATTGCTTGTATGCACTCTGTTTGGCATGTTCAGATGGGGATAAAATCACTGGCTTCTAAAGTCAATAGTCTAAACCTGACATATTTTTTCCAGTGAGAGGAGCAAAAACACATCATGGTGAAGTGAACCCTGTGAGTCATAGCATCACAAACCAAAGCTATTTCACTTTCACAACACTCAACCACAGGCACATTTTGCATACGCTTTCATCACTACTGACCAGACCAAAACAGAAATTGTATATGTGATGACAAATATGCTTTATCCTATGTTTTTAAGGGGAATTTCTCCCCATGTGCCTTGCTACTGTCACACACCAGTGGTGGTACAATGAGTCAGCCAGGGTTATTTCTCCATCTATAAAAGACATCATCACTTTGGTGATTAAACCACATGTTAACCTCATGACAGGGGAGAGGAGTACACCCACTGCCACTGCCGGTCTGAAGCACCCACCCAAAACAACAGTGATTCACAAAGGACTCTCAGATATTAAGTCTGTCACCATCTAAGTGACACAAATTGCTCAAAGACCAATATTTTCCAAATTCTAATCACAATTGCCATACAATCTGACAAGTCCGATTTTCTCTATAAATTAACAGCCCAAATGAAAGTGTAGGTTTACAAGACAGTCACAAAGTATTCTTTCTGAGATAACATTGGGCTATTAAATATATATGGAGTAGTATTGTAGTACTATTATAAGTTAATTGTGCAAAAAAAATTGTACTCATGTCAAAAGGCTCCTTGTGTTCAACCATAAAGATGTATGTAGTTACCAGAAACACAGATAAGATAAAGCTTCCTTCTTCCAGAGTGATTTATTGTTTGTGGAAATGTGTGCAGCCCCTGCTGTGTATTGACTGCTGGTTTCTCCTGAGGAGGCCACCCAGCCCCGGTGGTCTCCCTCCTCATCGTGCCCTTTGTCCCACATGTCTAAAATGCAGACCACGTGTTGTTTCCAATGTCAAAAGTAGGCTGGTATGTTGCACTATAGCAGTCTAAATTAAACCCGCGTTGAAATGAGCAAGAGTAGCAGAATTGAAAAAGGGGTGTGAGTGTTTTATATGAACAAGTATAAAAGCAACAGTTCATTTCACTTCCTTTCGCAAAACTAAATCTCAATCGAGTGACTTGCTATGTAGGCCTATAGGACATAAATAAACAAACAAAAATCACTTCTTTTTTTTAAAAGAGCGTTTTGTAAACAGTAGCCTGACTCTAACACATAAGTACCGTTGTAACTGTAACATGAATTTACCTCGGGAAATTAAAGTCAGATTTATGTAGGCTATATAAAATTATTAATATTAATATTTTTTCGTGCATGCTTCAGTTATTTGTTGTTTAATTTTTATAAAAGGGTGCCCTACACAGTTTCGCTAATTTAGTAAATTAATCAATTTGACTTCTTTTTAAATATGTAGTGTGTACCAGGCTGATTCGGATAAAAACTCGGCACATAAAAGTCACACACGGAAGCAACAAAATAAGCAATTGTTTCAACTCTTATTATGATTTTCTTATGTTATGTTTTTTAACGTATTTTCCCAATTTAGCTCTTCCACGCGACTACACGGATCTCTGAGACCTATGGGGCATTGTGTTATGTTACTCTACAACACGTGTCCACGCGCCTGAAACAATCTACAAGTCAACATCAACTTTCATAACCCGGATCATAAACGTATCCTACGTGACGGGCGCGTGTGGCCATCATATTCCTGTCTGCGTGCTACAATACGTCACCGGGAAAACTTCAGCAATTTAAAAAAAGTAACTTCAAAACATCTTACTAAGGGAAAAAAACATAAACTCACCTCTGTGGACGCAGATATATGTGGACCGTGATGAGTAAAAAGTGGCAGAGCGGGTTTCGGATGGAGGCGGAGGACTGAGTTGACACAGCGGGGATAGAGCGTCCAGCCAGCCGAGGATCCTCGTACTGAATTAACTACAAAACAACAACAATGTACCAACATTCCACGCTCTGCTTCCGCAAGCACTCACGTCACCGATTCCTCGTGACCGCCCCCTCCATTCATGAAAATAACTTTCTGCTTACGTCAGTCTGGGAAGGGGGTGGGGGGGCTATGGGGGGAAGCCAGAAATAGAAGATAGATATTGGCTGGCTACTACTTTTGCTTACTTTACAAAATGTATCTGTACCAAGTCAGCTCATTTGCTATTAGACAAGAGAAAGGGTTTTAAAAGGAAGTCATGAACTCCCTGAGTGCTGCTGACCCTCCCCTGTGAGTAAACTCCTTTATGGTCAAGTCTTCTCTACAAGGTATTCAAAAATGTGAATTGACTGAGAGAAAACAGCGACCCCCTCCTCCCCGATCTGTATGACTTTCAGCAGCATTCCTTTCCTGAGGAAAGTATGTGGCGTAGTAGCTCGGCAGTCAGGATTTCTCTTAATTTAACTGCTCGGCTGCCGTCACAGGTTATTCTGGGTAATTAAGTGAATGTAAATATGTTAAGTCAGGAGCCTTTTAAGGGCTGCTGCACTCTTATGATTTTCCCCAGTTCATTTATCCGAAGACCTCAGCTTTGAGGTTGCTTCAGACTATAGTGCCTGTTAAAAACAGATGCCGTGTGTTTATACTATAAACACTGTGGGCTACACAGTTCAAACAAGGATTCAAAACAGGAGGGAAATGCAGTTTCACATTTTTTTCTGCTGACTGGACCAAGCTGAATTGGAGCAGATTTTTACAAAAAGTAAAATAGCAACTGCCTGGTTAATCATAACTTATTTGTGTAATAATACTGTTGTGAGATGTTGCGTGTATGTGCATTCGCAGAAATGTGAAACAAACATTTGAAAAACAGTTTAGATCACATCTTATGGAAAAGGGGTGGCAGAAATTAATTAATTACATATGTATGCTGGTTAGTTTTATTAGTAGGCGAGTACAAGATCAAATGATTTAATAGAGAGAGAAGGTCACATTATCTTCTTTTAAAAAGTCTAGCATGAAAGAAAAATCCCATCACAATGAAACTGCATTGCTCCATTTGCCAAATACAGACAGACATAAAGTTGAACCAAGGACCCATGGTTTAAGACATCAGGCTTTCTAATTGCCTTAGGCCAAAAGTAATTTTTATTATTGCATCATTGCCATGATGGTTTCGTGTAATGGTGCTATGTTTAGCAGCTAAAGACACACAAGAGGAAGTAGAAAGGGACACGAATAAAAAGCACATACATGGTCTCGGTTGCATGATGTAGTGATGACCCTTTGATAAAGTTTGATGAGTCAATAGATGAGAAATGTTCAGTTGGATGTTGCTGGTGTGACTAGATGAAATCAAACTTTGCACACGTAATGTACCCCACTTTTTTTCCTAAGTACTGACGTTAGACACACATCACGCTTCCAGCGAGTCTGACTAACTCCTGAAAAATCCTCTTTTATACCTTGACTAAGTGCCAGGAACCAACCCGACCAGAGTGGATTTGTCTTCCTCACATAATTACCAACAAGTGACTCAACATATGGAGGTATTTCATTGAATCCCACAAGGAATCAATTACTTACCAGAGATGGTCTTGGGCTGATTTTTATCCGAATAATTGGCGTAACAGCAAATAATCTTGAATCAGATTAAGAACTTGTTTTGTATTCTGGTTAGTTAGTATCACATCTGTGTTGACTCCGAACAACAACACATCATTTTCTCTGTGTAGCCTTCCTGTAATGAGTTAAACGCAAGCATGATTTGTAGAAACATTTTTCTTCTGCTTCTGTATTTTCTAAATTAAATGGAACAGCTTTATAATGCACCAGGAATAATTTTGAGATCAGATTAGATTTTAAAGGAGATTAGAGAGGAGATGTGAACATGACATGAGATTACATTATATTACACTATCTTAAAAATGTAAGGAGATGGGATAAAACAGCTTTACTGCCTGAAACATTGTGACATCACTATGTAACACTCCTTCTATTGGCTAGCACTCCAACAAATTGTACATGATAGGCTCAGGCACGGGACATCTTCAAGCGGTTGACCTATTACAACTGAGCCGGCAAGCTAACCAATCAGAGCAGACTGGGCTCTGGTTTCAGACAGAGGGTGAAAAGAGGTGCTGCAGCACAGGCAGTATGAGAAAAAATAAAAACCTTTTTTGAACATTAGAGCATGTAAACAAGCAGAGAAGAGGCACAAAAACAAATATGTACCTGAAAATGAGCAAATCAAATTTGATTGAAATTAGATAGTATTAACTTTTCATCTTTAACCTAGATATTAATTGTGCAGAAACATGCAGCATCACATACAATTTCATATTACACTAGATTAGAAATAGGATTTAATGGGACTACATTAAATTACAGTAAATTTGAGATGAGACAATACAATAGAGATGAGATTACATCAAACTAAATTAGTTAGGCTCAGATAACATGAGATTAGAGATTAGATCAGATGATATGGGATGAGATTGGATGACATTACTCCAACTCTTATTTTCAGTCTGATGTGAGAGTAAGAGGAGATATCAGATTAGATTAAATTAGGAAAATTAGATTAGATTGAAGATTAGAATAAGGTTAGAGGAAATTATATGAGATCAAAACAAGCTAATGAGCCAGAATCAAGACTTTGGTTGAGGTTTATTGTGTGTGAGATGCCAGCAGTGCGGAGGGAAAGTCTCTGATACTCCTGTCAAACATCCAGCTGCTCAGTCAACAGCACACCACCCAATTACTGTCCATCTGGCAGCAGTGTACAGAGTTGACCTGAGGTACACCCATTGTGTGTAGCAAAATAAAAACAGCTAACCATGTGCGGCAGACTTGTCGGTGTTTTGTTAGATCAACAAACTGTGGGGTCTGAGTACAGGCAGTTTAGGATTACAGGAAGTAACTATACTTGTTTCTTTGTGACTCAGACTGTTGGACTCAGAAATTTGATCTGGCACAGAGAGGCCCCCTATTGTAAGAGGACATTTTTTATTTTCTTCTAAATGCTCCAAGTGATTAGTGAGTTAAAGGCAGTTAATCGTCATGCTGATTGAAAAATACATCATCAAAATAAGGAATGATGTCACTGCTTTTTAAATGAATAAAATAACACATAAATGTATTGATCACCTTTTTTTCTTCTATGTGTTCTCACATTGTTCAGGAGTATCTATAACTGAGGTGTTGACAGCTGCCTCTGGCACAGTTCGGACCAAAGTAATTTCAGAAGTAAAAGGATTGTTTTCGCAGATCCGTAGACTTCCCTTATGACACAAGATTTAATTTGGAACATTGACTGGACATTCCACTGACTTCACCAAAATGTGTTTCATATGAAAACACTTTACGTAACCCGGCTGGCAGCTTAGGGCTGCATGGAAAGGAACATGCAGGGTTACAGTAGTAGTGATGGCACCGGCTGTTTAACATCTTTTAGTTCTGTAAGAATGTGGAAAAATATTTGATTGTCAAAGTAAAAGTTTGGGATTTTGAGGACAGCAAGTTGTAGTAGTGCAGCTTGTAAACAAAGTAGTTGAGAGTGCTTAGTAATGTTTGAGGAATGAACAAAGAACCGCCGCTGACCATGGGTGGGACTAAATATGGACATTATTAGGAGTGGTACAGCTTTGATGTTCTGACTTTGTTCCCTTGAGGCATAGACTCTTTAAAAAGTGAAAACAGCTGGTTGAACATTTGCAAATTGTAATTCTCAAAAACCTTGCATCTACATAGCTTTACTTTTTGACTCACCATCACATTATACTTTAAAATGTTCTTCATGACTAAAGACTTAAAGAATCTGCATCCTGTTCCCTTTTGGACCTGATAGTGTGCTAGTGCCTGCTGTGTTTATATAATCCAATATCACAAATGTTACATTTGTCTCAGTGGACTTCACAGTTTGTTCAGAATATCAGTATGACAATACGACACCCTCTGTCCTTAGACCCTCACATCGTACAAGGAAAAACTTCCAGAGAATACCCCACAGTTTAAAGGGGAACATGGGAGAAACCTCAGGGAGAGCAACAGAGGAGGGATCCCTCTCCCAGGACGGACAGACGTGCAATAGATGCCGTGTGTAAATCAAAGAGATAATACATTTACAACATAGGTAGGCGTCTATAATAAGAAGATGAATCCACAAGGATGTCAACAATCCTGTGGGAGCCATCAGGGAAGTAGTATGATGAGAGTCAGGCAGGACCACAGTGATAGGTTCAGCCACGACTCGAAGTCCAGGATTCAAATCCAGAACTCAGGATAGAGGATCCAGGACACAGGACCGCAGCAACAGGATCAGCCACGACTCAAGATCCCGGCGTAGATAGACACCAAAAAGAAATCTGGGGGAAGCTGGGTTATTCGGAACATGAGAGTAGGTACAGACAGACAGAAGGAAGAAGTAAGGTGTCCCCCGACAGTCTAAGCCTATAGCAGCTAAACTAACGTGTACTAGAATTTTTATATATAGAAGATTTATATTGTGCAATTTTCCAAACTCACATTGGTTTCTCATACAGGATCTCTGTCCTACACGGCTTGTTGGAGCTCCTGCCCCCCCCTCCATATGAGCCCACTGTGCTCTGATTGGTCAGTTCGCCCACTATGTTCTGATGAATCCACCACCGTTACAGCGGAAAATCAGTGATTACTGTATGTGTTACAATGGCGTTAGCAACCAGAAAACGACACCAGTAATGACAAACAGATGAGAATGCTGCGTGGGGTCTGGGTGCCGTGTTGACGGGACGTTGCGCGGCTCGCTGCTGCGAGGAGCGGACAGTGTGAGCTGGTTTGTGACTTTGCAGACTGTTTACATGCAGAAAAACCTTCATAACACACAAGACCTTTAATGTTACTGTTGCAATACAGAATAATGTAGACTACTGCCACCATGTGTTCAATTTGTGGTACATTGCTCAAATTAAAGTGAATTTAGTGTATTCACAGAAAATGAAAGTGAATTTAATGTATTCACAGGAAATGAAAGTGAATCTAGTCTATTCATAAATAAAAAAGTAAAGTGGACAAAGTGTACTAATATGGAGAAGAAAGTGAATCCATTCATCAATGTAAGAAAAGAAAAATAAACAGAAAAAAATATATACCAAAAATCGCCATCATGTATCAGCTTTTGTGTTTTATTTGTGCTCTATTAATTCATTTACAGCTCCAAAAACTAATGCAGATGATTTGTATACAATTCGTTTGGTTTTTTAAATAATTGATTTATAAATGATTGCATGGGGTAGAAATGTAAACTTGTCTAAATCTGTAGTTAAGTGCAATGATAAAAAATGATGGCGATCAAGATGGTAATTGAGATGGCAAAAATATATCTTGACACTGACACTAGTGATTGGGAACATTTTAAACAAACACTTACTGAAACAAAAACATGTAATACAGTCAATAATTGTGACATCTGCTGGATACCTCTTTGGTATTTGCTTTGAACATTTTGAGTCAAAATAAGTTAACTCACTGTTATCACCAGTTGTGTTTTTCTTAAGTGAAGGTCATATTCGTTATAGATATTTATTTGAACTACTTTTAAAACTCGTGTTCTATCCCTGGTATGATCATAGAGATGTAGCATATAGATAGTAGTAGTATTATCAGTTTTGTTTGGAACCTACATAATGCAACGCAAGGTTACACAAATAAGCCGTCCTTAGTGCCACTGCCACCCAGTGGTTGCAATGCATAACTACCGGTCCCATTTAAAAAAACGTTTTATTTTGAAAGTGTTGAGAGGAAGTTTATGCTATTTGGTCGTTCAACTTGATAGTGCAGTTACCTGCTGTAACCTCCAGATGACACACATCGTTCAACAGAACACAATGCACTGTTGTGTACAGTCCTCTGCCCTTTAGTTGGATGGCCATAGCACATTTCCCTGAAAACTTAATGTCATCTTTTACAACAGAAAATTAAGTTGGGACCAACATCGAGTGACACAAGAGCTTAGTAAACTATTGTATTACTCTTTTCTGCTTTGATGGCTAACGTATTATGAGTTGTAATGCCCTCTGGTGGTCCCAGTGAGTAGCTACTCCTCAAGCGTCAAGTTAGACATAACATAACGATGCTTCCGTTGGACAAAATACAACATAACATGTTTTTAGATAAAATCCGTAACCAGCAGAATAGCGATAAGGCTCTAAGCAGAGCGTGTCGGGTTTAAGCATAGCCTAGCTTGTATCTAATATCTGCTTTGAAGTCAATTTATTTCGCCTAGACTGCGTTCAGTTTAACGTTATCACCACCGGAGACTCTCTTGGCAGTAGGTGACGCTGTGACTTTAGTTAGCCAACAATATTGATGCAGAGAGGAAGAAGAAGAAGCCGTCATGGTTCTGTCTGATAGCTTTTGAGCCGGCTAATGTCATTTGTTGTTAAAATTGCATCTCTTAGACTAACTACGACCCGTTGTATGGGACCGAATAACAATGTGAGTCACATTTAATTAAATAAGCATGCCAAATAATGTTAATTCAGTGTCATTAATGGGTTTGACACCGTCATCTAGCTAAAGTGACAAACAGCCACATATGTAGCTTTAGCCGCATTTGTTGACGTTAGCCTAGCAGTTTTTGTCCAGTGTGTAATCGTGGATATATTTGGAGTGTGCAGTTTAGTCTGTAACTTTAGTATTGTTTGCCTTGCTAAGTCCTTAGTTTGTGCGATTTGGGGTCGCTAAAATGTAATTGATGTTAGCCCTAACCGTTAAGTTACTTCAACTAGGGTTATTACACTTTTATTAACGTTGTTACGTTTGCTAATCTTGTGTTCCTTGATGTTTTTCTCACACACAGAATCCTTCAAGCTAAGTAATGTCACCCGCTTGACCTGCAGTGAATCTGGCTTTGCTTTGTGCTTGTTGCTCAAGATGAATCGTGCAAAGCCAACAACTCTCAGGCGCCCCAGTGCTGCAAAACCATCAGGTAATCCAGTGCCATATTAGTGTTTCTCTACAAGCATTACCTTCTTTTCCATGATGGGAGTTTTCCCTTGTACGCTGCAAGAGTCTAATGGCACTATATTTTGTATGCTGTACAGATTGTAAATCCCCCTTAAGATAATATGTTATTTTGGGCTCTATAAATAAGTTTGATTGATGATTTATATGAGAAACATTTTCCTAGATTTGGCATATTTTGTAATATTAGCGTCTGCATTACATAATGGTGATGTGCTTTTCAAAATGTGCTAGACTATTATATTGCCTTTAACCACTTTATATTTATATATCTGAATTACTGATGATTATTTAGCAAACAATATTATTGTATAATATTTTGTGAAAGCACCACCCTTTCAATATAATTGCAATATTTTTCCAGAATATCATGATATTTAATGTTCTCCCAAATGCACATCCCTGCCTGACTTTGATATCTGCTTTTCCCAGGTCACCCTCCAACAGGAGACTTCATTGCTCTCGGTTCGAAAAACCAGAGTGGAGACCCTAAACCCCCCGCTGTCCTGCTGAAGCCAGCATCCACAAGTTCAACTGCTGACCGTAAGAGAGAGACTTCCTCCGCTCTGCCCTCTGCAGGTCTATCTGGACTCACCAAGCGACCCAAACTATCCACCACCCCCCCAGTCAGTGCTCTCGGACGACTTGCTGATGTTGCTGCTGTTGACAAGAGGGCGATATCACCCTCAATAAAGGAGCCATCAGTGGTGCCTATTGAAGGTATTTTTACTAAAGCCTCACTCAAATGGAAGCACAATGTTTATTCTGCACTGTCAAAGAAGCAAAGGTAGTTTAAACTCTATTTTTGTATTGTAGTGTCACCATCTCTGCTTCTTGATGAGATTGAAGCTGCAGAGTCTGAGGGTAATGATGACCACATCGAGGGACTGCTGTGTGGAGCGGTCAAACAGCTCAAATCGAACCGAGCAAAACCTGACATAACGCTGTACCTCAGTCTCATGTTCCTGGCCAAAATCAAGCCCAACGTTTTTGCTACCGAAGGAATTATTGAGGTAAGATTTCTCACTGATACTGTGTTAGTCTCACAAATAAACACCCTCCTAAAGTGAATGTTGAAATTGGACTTTTCTTACTCTTGTCTCAGGCTTTGTGCAGCCTCCTGCGTCGAGATGCTTCGATCAACTTTAAAGCGAAGGGGAACAGCCTGGTGTCTGTTCTTGCTTCCAATCTGCTGATGGCAGCTTACGAGGAGGACGAGAACTGGCCAGAGATCTTTGTAAAAGTGAGAAACAAACACTTGAACCTGCTTATAACTTAGTTTTATCTTAGCCATTTTGTGCAGTTTATTCATATGTAATGTCATTTCAGGTGTACATTGAGGATTCTCTGGGGGAAAGAATCTGGGTTGACAGTTCTCACTGCAAGACTTTTGTTGACAACATCCAGACTGCTTTTGGGACAAAGATGCCTCCCAAGAGTATGCTGCTGCAGGCTGACACAGGCCGCTCAGCTGGAGATCTCAGTGCAGGTACACTGAGAAAACACACTGGCTCGTTTGTTTGACGCAGTGAACAAGTGCTGTAAATCAAGCTGCTTTTTACATTGTGTCTTTAGGTAGCAGCCCTCATCCCTCAACCCCTGATGAGGACGACTGCCAGACTGAACTGCTGATAGCTGAGGAGAAACTCAGCCCTGAGGATGAAGGGCTGATCATGCCGAGGTACAAAATCAATTTGTGTGTGTAGATACAATTCCACAATTATATTTAATAAGATTTAGATATTTTATAAATGTATTACAACTTATTTCTTAAGATATTTGCAAAACATTTTCTCATTTCCTCCACCATTTTGTCTTTGTCTTCCCCTCTGGTGTTCTGTAGGTATGAAGAACTGTCAGAGAGTGTGGAGGACTACGTGCTGGAGGTCCTTAAGGATCAGCTGAACCGCAGGCAGCCGATGGACAACGTGTCCCGGAACCTGCTGCGTCTGCTCACTGCCACCTGTGGCTACAAAGAGGCACGACTCATGGCTGTACAGAGGCTGGAGATGTGGCTGCAGAACCCAAAGGTGAGTAACACATCCTGAATACCACTTGTTATTCTGCATAATCCACTATCTTATTGGCAGTATTATACACCTGTAGTAAAATACTTCATTTGGTGACCTAGATACACGGTCAAATTAAATGACAACATCTGTATAATTGTCATGTTTCTTTTGTTTATGTGAAATCATGAATATGTAGATTGATGTCAATAACCATAATGAATAAAGCTATTTTTCTTTTATTGTTGTGTGTGCACAGCTGACTCGCCCTGCCCAGGACCTCCTCATGTCTCTGTGCATGAACAGCATCACCCAGGGAGCAGATGACATGGAAGTGATCTCTAACCTGATCAAGATCCGACTCAAACCCAAAGTCCTCCTCAACCACTACATGCTGTGTGTCAGGTCTGCAGACTCTTGTTTTTACTTATAACTTGTTGCTACACACAGTGACTTAAGACCCTTTCCCACTGCACAATTATTCAAATGATTTTAAATACAAGACGTACACTTGATATGCTTTCCTCAAAGCCACCATTGACAGATACAGTCATTTTTCCTCACTGATTGTTTTAAAACACTCAAAGATACAACTTATTACAAGTGTGTTTGTTAGTCTTCTCACTATTCCAACAATCACTACTTTAGGGTTGAGAGTTTTCAAGAGAAACTAAATAGGTAACATATATTAAAAAAGTAGTTACCACTCTAAAATGTCCGCTGTTTACTTACCTAGCTTTGTGGGACACACCACAAGAAAAAGAAAAGTTGAAAATGTTTATTTTGCCTATTTTTTTGCACTTTTTCCAATGTTTAAGAAAACGTCCATATACTGCTCTGAAAACAATTAAGAGACCTTTTAAGAGGTTTATCTTTAATCTCAATCTCTACATGTATGGCAACCATTCCATTCCAGTGTCTGTTGAATTCCAACACAGAGAAATGTTTTCAGCATTTTATAGAATAAAATAACACATATCTATAAATAGTAAAAGCAGAGAAACTGATACTTTTGCAGTGGTCTCTTAAGTTTTTCCAGAGCTGTATGTGCTACGTTTGGTGGAAAAGGGTCGTTTACTAACTGGTGTTTTGGTGTTTTTTTTCCAGGGAGCTGCTTAATGCTAACAGAGACAACCTGGCCACGATGGTGAAGCTGGTGATCTTCAACGAGCTGTCCAATGCCAGGAACCCTAACAACATGCAAGTCCTGCACACAGTGCTGCAGCACAGCCCCGAGCAGGCTCCAAAGGTCACTAGAAACGTTCAAATAGTTGGAACAGATAGCAGTTGGAAATGGTTTTAATAGTATTATAAGTCTTTATCATCTGTTACAAATTCAATAGTTTCTCTAAATCAACATTCCCCTTGTCTTCCATTGTGTCTGTAGTTCCTAGCGCTGGTGTTCCAGGACCTGCTCACCAATAAGGATGATTACCTGCGTGCCTCCAGAGCCTTGCTGAGAGAGATCATCAAACAGACCAAGCATGAGATTAACTTCGGGGCCTTCTGCTTCGGATTAATGCAGGAGAGAAAGGAGACTATCTATTTGGAACTGGAATTCAAAGTATGTGTTTTTTTAAATCATTTGAGCTTTACTTTTCATGCAGTTGCTCTGAAGCTGTGAATGACCTTTGTCTCTCCCATAGGAGCGTTTTGTTATCCAGGTGACAGACTTACTGACTGTCTCCATGATGCTGGGCATCACTGCTCAGGTCAAAGAATCAGGCCTTGCATGGGACAAAGGGGAGAAGAAGAGTGAGTGCTTTATATTTGTTGTTTTGATGCAATTTGTTTTTGTGCAATCATTAGCATTTTTGCACTTGCATTTTCCTTGTCTTAAAGTAAATTGATGGTTTTTAAATAGATTTGTTGTGACTTGTGTGACATAAGTAGGTAACTTTGTGTCTAAGGGTGCATTCACACCTAATAGTCCACTTCTCTCCAGACCACAGCTTGTTTCATTTTTCAGAAGGTTCGGTTTGCGTTCACACGGGCAAAACTCAAACGGACTATAAACTTTAAAAACATGTCATGTGCTCGGAAATGCTGTTCAACAATTGGTCAGACATTAAGCGGGTAAAAACGCGAATCCCTGCAATTTCTACCCGAGCCTCCGCCATGGAGTATCGGCAGGTTATTTTCATGCTGTTGTTAATCTGGAGAGCATATCAACGGCAACGGCGCATATGATTATATAATCAGACAACGTGCGATACAAAACATTATAACACATATAATTCTGCAGTAAGGAGGGGGTTTCACCGACGGCAGGTGGCTCTGACTNCCTGATTTACTTTCCTCTTGAAAGCCAAGTTTAGATTACTGTTAACAAATGTAAAAAAATAAGTACCGTAATTTTCGGACTATAAGCCGCGCCTTTTTCCCCATTTTTCGACGCTGCGGCTTATATAACGNTGTAAAAAAATAAGTACCGTAGACTTGAAAGAAATCATTGGTGTGATCCCGAGAAATCTGTCCCCCACAGCACAGGAATATAAACCCTTTTTACTTCTGAGGACAGATTTCTCGGGATCACACCAATGATTTCTTTCAAGTCTACGGTACTTATTTTTTTACATTTGTTAACAGTAATCTAAACTTGGCTTTCAAGAGGAAAGTAAATCAGGCTAAAACTGGTGATTAGGTTAGTACTGGAAATAAATAATAGTGTATTATGGATAACCTACAAATTCTAAATGTTCTAATTCTAAAAGTTTATCTGGGAGAAAAATACCTATACTGTAAGTGATTTATTTTCTTTCCCTTTCCTTTTCTAGTCACCTATGTACCATCACATTAAATTTAAGGTCGCATTCACACCTAATAATCCACTTCTCTGGTGGCACTTTTATGTATAGTTTTTAGTTTGATAGTTGTTTTTACTTTACACGACACTGTTCAACCTGTGTTCAACACATCATTCTGCTTCACTCTTTCACTAAAGAAATGAAGACACCCGCGTTCTTGTGACACGTAAATGCTACGCTTCCTATGTTTTGGTGCGGACTGCGTTCACACCATCGATGAACCGCTACAGAGTTCCCTAGCAAGCGGTCCGAGACCACCTATTTTAGCGGACCAGAGTCCGGTTGTTTAGTTCACTTAAGAGGTCTCGGACTGTGTTCACACCGACCCAAACGAACCGCACCAAGCGGCTAAACGCACCAGGGTTCGATTCAACCGGACTATACAAGGCTGGTGTGAATGCGCAGAGTGGCACCAAGTGGAAATACTTTGTCACTGCAACACTGTCTACACATCAGGACCTTGTGTGGCTGTATTTAAAAAAATACACAGGTCACAAGGCACATGTGAGGTGTCTTGCTCATGCTCAGATTTTGGTAGGATGTTAAGTAGCATGTACAATATGGAGCACATGTGTGTTCTTGATCTGTTTTTCCTTAGAAGAAGACATGTTGAAGTTTACAATTGGAGCATGCAAAGAGACCCGCCCATCAAGGGCAGCTCATTGTGGAATAGCCTTCCAACTGAGTTACGGGATTGTCCCACTTTGAACAGTTTTAAGGTCAACTAAAAGAATGGTTGAGAAACAAACAGACGTGCAATCACCGCTAAATGCACTTTAACACAGGGGTATCTCCTCTTGCACTTGATGTAGCTCTTGTATCTCCTCTTGCACTTTTTGTCGTTGCTGCTATATTGTACTGCCATGTGGTAAATACTTGTGTATGCTGCTCATGCTCTTTTGCACTTTTTGCATATCATGTATTTTGTTTTTGCTATGTTTGTAAAATGTATTTTCTTAAATGTTTTATGTGAGGGGCTGCGGATGGAAATGAGCTCCAAGCTAAATCTGGCACTGTTACGCTTGACACATTTTAATGTTTTACGTGTTCATTACTGTGCATTGTCCCTGCCAAATAAACGATTAAATAAATAAAATTGTCCATGCGGGAAAAAAAAGATTACTGATAAACCCATTTAGCAATACTTGGCATATTTGAAATCTTCAAAAAGGTATTAAAAGCAAAATGTTCTGTATAAATTTAAAGATTCTCAGAACTACTTTTGCTATAAGTTATCAATATTTTGTACAGCTTTCTAATAAATCAGCCAATGTTCTGAAATATGGATAAACATTAGAAAGCATCAAGTGTCATAATCCCATTCAGTACTTACTCAGTGTCACCTGCGGGAAAAGTTGGTATCTTGTCAAAAAAGGCACTTCTCCTTCCTCTGGTCTAAAGCAAGGCTTCTGATATATGAATAATGATCTGTTGTCTTTGCTCCTCAGATATCCTATCTCCCCCAGCCTCTTCTTCTTCTTCTTCTTCAGCGACAGGAGGATGTGCCACGGAGTCAGATGTTCAACTGGACTTCTGCCCGCTCGTCCACGACTTGGCCTTTATCTACGCCTGTCTTCTCCGTGACACTGCCCCTTCCCTTCATTTGTATCTCTTACATCTCAACACCCCGTCACCCTCCCCTCATTTCATCTCATTTCCTCTGCACTCATTGCTATCTATCTTTTTCTAAAAATAACATGATGGTAATCACAATAGTTTGCCTTGAATTAATTTGATAGTTGCCCCAGTCTGCAGTCAAAGCAAGTGAAACACACCGTCTCGGTTCAAAGTTAAGTACCAACGCTGCAAAAATAACAACAATCCCATTGTCACTAATTTTTTATCCCATTACAAATTTAAAAATCTTTGTAGTTCCTATTGTGTTTGTGACATTTCTAATCCTTTCTTGTTTCAAGGTTCTGTCTTGATAGAAAATGCTCAGTAATTGTAATAAACATTCTGATGTATTTCATAAGTATCTCTGTCAGCTTGTGTTTTTTCTGATATGGGAAGTGAATGATAGTTACGAAGATCTATTGTTTACAAAGCCAAACATCACATATTATTCCAATTACACAGCTTTACCCACCTGTAACCTGTTCAATCAAACATGTTCTGATGAATTAGTGAGACTACAGAAACATCTCCTGCACCTTAAATCAGTTATTAAGTGGTGAAGATTTTTCTACGTCACCAACTTCAAAAAAATAGTTCTGCAATTCAATTTGATTCAATTCTACAGGGGGCATTAAGTGGTAAATGTGGTGTCATCAATTAGTTAACGAAGGCAATTGCATTTCCTAAAATTTGATTTATGTGTTTCATAATAGTTAATAATGAAAGAAACTGCAAATCTGCTCCTTTGGATACAATTTTAAAATGATAGGCTGGATTAAAGATGCAAAAATCAGTGTCAGTTCTTTGTACTGATTTTGTGTTACGACAGCCCAGTTATATATACATGTGTGTCCTTGTGTGGCACCTTAAACAATACGGAAATTTTCAATAAAAAATGCTGAACGCTGCGCATTGTTGCTACTTAAAGGAACATCATGTATGAGTACACAAAGGTCTATTTAAAGCCCACAGAAGAGGAAGGGGGGTAAGATGGGAGCAGTGGAGCTCTCTGGAGAAGGAGCAGGAAGAGGCTGTCAGGCCAAGGAGGGACTTCGACAAGACAAAGGTTTCCTGGGTCACCTCCTGTCCGGACATCAAGGGACTAATCCTCATCCGACTAATGATGGAAATATTACAAGTGCAGCCTTACGATAGCTGGGCCCTCAGGGGCCTTCAGGATTACAAACCGTCTCAGTTACCCTCAAATAAACAAACATGGGTCACACAAATGTCAGCCAGCAGCACACATAATCATATATATACATGTTGTATTACATTTGTTTTCACAGATACTGGGTGACGCAGTATGTACACTCATAAGATTATGTCATCTCTATGCTTCAAGATCATACAGCAATGTATACTCTATATCAGTGGTTCTCAACTGGTCAGGCCTCGGGACCCACTTTTTCCTTTGTCAATAAATCACGACCCGAAATTTTGAACCACTGAAATCTATTCAACAAAAAATCGTGCTGTAATATATACGCTTTTCAGCATACAATATTAATTAAAGTGAAGTACAGTGCATATATCCCTTCACAGAACTAAAGAATGCTTTTAAAATAGGTTTAATGAGATGATGGAATCAAAGCTGAACTGTATAACACAAAAAGGCACACGTGCTGAAAACCCAACCCCAAAGGGGGGTCTGGGGGATTGCTCCCTCCAGGAGATTTTTAGAAATTACTAACTATCATAAACTACGCATTCTGGTACACTCTGAGAAGAAAAGTAAATAAATCTATTAACAACCGACATTATATAATATATTGTATGCCATTTTTTGTTTTTTTCACTTTGTTCTGACAGCTGAACTTGCTGCTCCCACACAGAGAGAAGAGTAAAGAGGAGATTTAAATGTGGGTAAGGGTAGATGGCCCCCATCGTTCTGTTACCTGTCATCATCAAACCGGGGGTCATATTTAAGTGCGTGTTCATTTTTATCTGAAGTTGGAACCCCCATGGTTGTATAAAGAGTAGTTCTACCGCAAAAGTTATTCCCGTGGGCGGACTTCTTGCATCAATCGTGGACAGAAATTTTTCTAAATCCGTTGATGGTCTCCGGTACTTCGAGTCACGCCGACTGGCATGCACAGCGTTAGAACAAATCGGGGCCTTCAAAATAAAAGTTAACTTATATTCCAAAAAATAAAAAAAAAAAATTTATTCACTCACAATATCTGCGACGCTTCACTCGAAACGGGGTCCGCGATCCATCTTTTTGAGTCATACGACCCACCAGATGAGAACCAACTTGCCTCTATATCACCAGGATATAGCATAAGAACCTGATAAACCAGGAGAATATAAACAGACGAAAATGGGGGAAGTAAAGGATAAACAAATGTTGACAGTTAGAGGTCAATCTATGAAAGCAGGGATGGCTGTTAACTGTAGTTCATGTTTTCTCTAGGAAATCTGAACACGTCCAGTTTCAGATACAGTTATTTTTTGTTGATGGTTAAATTGACCTCTGAAATCATTTTTTTGTCATCCTTTCATTGTTCCCATATTCTTGTCTTGTTGATTATATGCTGGCTTTATCAGTGAGTTTAGTATTCTGCCTTGTATCACATCTGACATATCAGTAATACACTAACCAAATCATTACCTAAACACTTAATTCAGACATTAGTTCTGAATCACACGTGCATTTTTGGTTTGGGAGACTTGTTCAGAGTGAAGAGCTGCAAGTGTCTTTTAGGTTACTCAGTAGCAAAGCCTTAGTCCAGTCCGGAGCAGAACCACTAACCCTTCAGTTTGATGCATAGTGACCCTATAGGATTGATCTTACTGCGTATTTATCAATCCGTCTATATTCAATTCAAGCGAGATTGCAACATACTTAGTTATATTAAGCGACCCACTCTGTACATTCTCCACACGTCGATTGGTCTGTTCTCCCCCTCCTTCGTCCTCTCCAAGTGGCCATACTTGGACACAAATGTATTTTATAGAGTGAAATTATGTCTCTTAACCCAAACTGTAGCAATATACCAGAGACATATTGCTTTTGACTTTACATAACAGCAGCTCGTTGCTTGTGTAAGACGCTGTGTTATAGAAATTGTGAGAATGCCAAGTTAAGAAACCCTGCCATGTATATTTATAACTACTATGTACTTGTGTACACATGAGGACAAACCACCAGGTAAATCTTTTACAGTATTTTTATTTTGTCGGAATGACAGCCTTTCTGTAATGTACAATAGAGTGACCAGAAACACAAATGTTACAGAAAAGTTATCAAATATACTCTTGCTCCAGGACTTGCTGCGTGTTCAGGCCGTGTCCCCGCGAGGTTCCTACTAAGTATGCTCGCTCTTCTCTCTCTCTACCGTCCGCTCGCAATCAAGTGACCAGCAATGAGGAACTGTGAAACAAGACGGGTAACTGAATGTGTGATTTCAAACTCGCATGCTGCCCGTAACTAAGGAGTGATCAGGTGGGCAGGATGAACGCAGAGAGACTGACATGTGCTGTTCGACCGCACACGCGTGCACCACTCCTCACGTGACTGAGTCTCTCTCGCAGGCCGAGTTGATGTGCGGAAGGGAAGCGGGCTTTAAGAGGAAGATGAGAGCAAACGTGGGACAGTCGAGGCAAGCAAGAACATGCTTTTTAAAACCTGAGCCAGTGACATGGCACTGCGCACTCTGGTTTGTAGTCGGGGGAAGCTGCTCGCAGGTACCTGAGTGCATGATGAGGCAGCGAGGAGGAGGTTCTGGAGACCGAATTGAATATAGCCTGGCTTGCTGACTGATACAAATGACTAAACCACAGGAATCACGACAGCTGCCACAGCGGGACACTTATCGTAGATGTGTATTTGCGCAGACTCCCACGGCCTCCGGTCACGCACCTGAAAGAAGAACATGTGGAGGAAGTCAGATGGCTCTCTGATCCTATAGATTGGACTAGAGCACTTTGAAAAAAAGTGCGCGGACCCTCATCACTGTCCTTTATTTTCCTTTGCCAGATTTGGGACTCCCACCCCGGTCCCGATGCGCCGGCCCCCTCTGCCAGAAAAACCCGGGCGTCCGGTAGTCCAGTGCGTGGGTCCTGCCGATTATGTCGTCACAAAAATGTGTTTTCCCTTAAAAAAAAGACAAAATGAAACAGTGTGAGTTGTGCATTCTTGTTTATAAAAATCAATTTAAAGTAAAAAATTTTCAAATAACCAATAACCCGTGTTGACAAGTTGGTAAACTCCCATGACCCCGTGGAAAAAAGAGCAAAAAGGCGATGTGATTGCGGCCTGCCCATTTACCCTCCCAAAAAAATAAAATGTGTCCTTGTTGAAATATGGGATGCCCCCACACCGCCACTGTACATTTATAATATTGCAAAACCAATGAACAGATACAGATGTCGACGATGTATGACCTGTTGAGTACAGGCACGTTGTTGTTTAAAAACATTTTCTTATGATACTGTTAAAAAAAATGATTTTCAAGCTGTGGATTTTATATAGATTTGCAATATATGCATATGCCGGTGTTAATGTATTCGATGACGTTGAGGTGAACACCCCCCAAATCTAAAGATGCAGAATTCTGTAGATATGCTTACATCCATCTGATTCACAAATGCAAGTTGACTTGGTTTGTAGATTTGTATAATTGTTTTTGTAAATGCTGTGACCAACATGTCACCCACCATTGA